CGTTATGGAGCTGCTTTGGAACCCACTGAAGCTTCTTCGATTGGCTGACGCTTTCTTGGTGTTGGCCGTGTGAAGATCCAGGTGACGTTTGAACAGGATTTGTCCAGTCAGTTGAATGGCTTGGCAGAGGTGGGAAGTCTGCATCTCTCGCTGGGGGTACCACAACAACTTGCGATGTTTTCTCGATTTTGTTACTTTGGCGGTGATGACATCTCTGCTCAGGATCTTGATGTCTGGGGCCAGATGGCTTCACCACAGATCGGGCAGCTGTGTAGTTGACGTTGTTTTCGCTGCAGTAGGCTGATATTTTTTTTCTGTCTTGTAGAAGGTGCATTGGCGTGATGTCGATTTGTGGTTCTTTTTGCAGTTGATGCACTGCGGTTCTTTTGCTTCACAGGCACTGCGTTAGTGGTTGCCGCCACAGCGACTACACCGCTCCACCTTGTTGCATACACTTGCAACATGGCCAAAGCAACTGCATTTTGGACATTGCCGTGGTTTGTCTGTGTATGGTAGGATTTTGAATCTGGTGTGGCCTAGAGTGACGTACTCTGGAGTAGTTTCTGTGGCAAAAGCGAGCTTGACGATATCTGATTTCCCTAGCCTTCTCACATGGGTGACAGGGACAGTCGCGCGTATCCCTTCCTGGAGGTCCGCTTCTATGATCTCCTAAAAAACTCCACGGATGATTCCAATAGCCGAAGATCTTTGATGTGCCTCATATACAGTGATTTTCATTCCGCAGAGGCTTGTCATTTTGAGCAGAGTTTTTTGGACTCGGTGTTTCACTTGTCGATCGCCAGAAGATTAGGTCGGTAGTTTGGTCTGATGAGGATCACTCCGTCAGGTGCAATGTCGTTTAACTTCTTAGATAGCTTTAGAGGATTGACCTTCGTGACGATTTGGCTCGGATCTGCAGGTTTGACGACGACGGTGAGGCCGGGGCTTGGCGTTGTGATGATGGTGTCGTCACTGGATGCAGATTCCTTCGAGACATGCTTTCTCTTCCTGGTCATTTTCGATTTTACCAGAGCAAAGCCTGCGTTGTCGTCAGAGTTGCTCATAATGATGCTAGAGTCATCAGACATGCTGGATGCATCTGATGACTCCGCTGCGCTGCCGGCCTCATGGATCATGGTGTTTGTCCCCTAAGGGACCAAATCAGGGCCTTTTTTCAGGCGTCGTCGCAGATTTGTGGTGCTCTGATCGGGTAAGATAGAGACGAACGGCCAGATACCTGCGCAGTTTTCTGGATCCTGTTGTTTGATTCAAGGAGCGAAGAAAAAAAATGTCACGAAAGTTTTGAAATTTGTTTGACTTAACCAGAAGTATTAAATATTCGAGTTTGATTTATCGCGAGCCCATTGTATACCCTAAGGGAGATATGCCTCAATTTAATGTGCTTAATATCACTGAATAGTTGTGCAATTTTAATTGGCTAGTTTTATTTCTCAAGCACTCGTTGTGTTCGGTATTCAAATCAATGCAAATTTTTACTTTGATTCAATTTATGGGAGGTTTATTTAATATCTCATGTAGAGTAGTAAGGCGGGGAGCTACACTGTAAAACATTTACGTCAATTTTACGTGTCTTTTCCTCGTCAAAAAAGACGGGCACGCTCAGCATTTCAAAATACGAGGATGCCCTCATTATTTATTTGGCGCGAGAGCCGAGCCTTCCAGAAAAGCCAAAATCCCAGGAGTGCAAGCATGCGCAGATGGCGAGGAGTTGAATGCCCCGCCGGGCAGCGCGCAGCCCCGCAGCTCTTTTGCGGCCCTCCTCTCTCGCAGAATGGCGGTGTTGGTGCGTTGTTGCGGTTGTTGCAACACCTTGTTGTTGCCGCCTGCTCTTTCCCATCTCTGTTGTTTTGCTCTGAGTCGTGCGCCCGTGCCGCGCAGGCGCAAACAGAGGTTGCAGCAGCTATTGCTCTTCGGGCGTTCGTCGAACTCGCCTCGGTTGCTGTTGTCATCGTGGTCAGTGTAGTGTTCTGTGATGCATCAGGGCCTCATCAGCTCATCGACGACTAAATCGCCCACTTCAAGGTATGCAATGTGACTTTATCCTTGCAATGTCTTGCTTACGTATTGTAATTGAATATTTCTCCATGTTCGCGGTTCGAGTGCTTTGGTTGAAGACGGAAAGCGCTCGAGCGTGTTCGAAATCCGCGGTCTGAGAACACGGACGTCCACCGACACACCGTGCTTTAGGTGTTTCTTTTTCAGCACGTTATGTTTCCGTTATAATATGCACGTGTTTACTTATCCGTGCTGCAGCGGCGGCGCCTTTACTCAGAGCCCTGCGCCTTATCTCTTAAGAGAACTCGTGAGTACGAGCTTTTATGGAAGCTTAGTTTCTGTGTTTGTTTTTGCAACCACATTCATGCAGCCGGACAACATAAGCGAGCGGCTAACACATTTGTGACGATGCAATGTCATTGAACGACGTTTTAGCTGCTTCGAAAACGGAAGTTTCCAATGCACTCGATTCACGAGTCTTTATGACGTACACAAAGATATTGGCCGCCCTCGTAATTTGACGGGAAATTTTCAAGCAGTTGGGAAGGTTAATTATTTTAACCATCCACTCTGTAGCTCGCTGCTGGCTCTGACTTTATATTTAACAGTGTGCTTATTTTTTATATCGTATTTTCCGGGCTATAGCCCAAGGTCTATACATCTTTAAAAGTTGAAATTTTAGACTGTGCGGACTCAACGCGTGCGGACTATACACGAATTTTGTTTCTCAAGATCGTTCATTATGAGGAGATGTCACGGATTTTGTGAGTGAAAGAGTATGTTAATGATGATTAATGTATATTATAGGCTTCTTTGTGTGCTAAGAAAGCAGACATGTGTCAAGGTGTGCCGTCTATAAGATTTTCGTGTCGACTAAGCACCAGGTGCCGACTATGCACGGCACGCGGATTATGCACCGGGTGCGGAGTATCTAAGTATCTAAGCATGAACTTTTATTTTGGATCCTAAAATTGCCCCTGCGGACTATACACCAGGTACGGACTATAGCCCAGAAAATACGGTACATATATATTAGGTTTTTGCATGTCCTATATTCCGTTCACGCCTACGCTGACAGTGCGGTGCAAGCTACTTGTTCGCCAACTATAATTAAAGCCTCTTATCACATGACCTCGCTCTCCCCGCGTGAGTATGCAAAAAGGCGGTGATCACGTTGTGCTGAATCGACAGTTAACTGGTTAAACGAACATGCAGCTTCCACCGCACTGTCAGTTTAGGGGTGAACATTCGCGAAATCGTAATAATTAGCTCAGCATACCCAACAGCTGATCGGCTTCGCAGAAGTTTATATCTTATTATTTACTTTTATGCGCTTTCTTGTTTCATTTCTCATTGATGAGTACTGTTCATTCATTTGCACACCTGAGGCATTAGACAGCTGAAATGACGTCGAAAACGTCTTGTGATATAGTTTTTTTTTTTGTAATCTTGAACGGATTGTAAAGGAAAATGAAGGTGATATATATGTGGATGCCGTCCTCACTGTATAATTGTAGGGCTCCGCGGACATTAGACAGGCGGATAAAGGTCAAAATATGTTTACTAATTAACCAAAATTGTAAAGTCACTGTTTAATTACATGGCTTTTTAGTTTTCTTTTTTTATGTCACTGTATATTACACTTGTGCAGCTTCAGACACCCGGCCGTGACACTTCCCCTTTGGACTCGGTTTAATGAATTTCTGTTTGGTATAGTTGCGTTATTTGTGTTTAGTATAGTTACGTTTATTTATCATTAGTGTATGATTTTTTTCTTTACGAGGTTATAATTGCTTCCTCTTTTTTACAGTGGCTATTTGCAAACCTAACGTTGCATTTGCATATGTTGGTGTGCATGTGTATGGTGTGTGTCTGCATCTAACTGTGTCACATGACACCCGTGACATCCTAATGACGTCTGTATATAGTTGTTTTACTTTGCACTCGGGCTCAAAGTATGGCTATGTTGGACAGTTAATTTTAGGGTGGCATATCCCACAAGCCTCATGTTGGCTTTAATGTGCCCGTCATGCTAACTGATGTCCGCTAGATACAATAAATGTATTATATTAATATTACGAATATTAATTTTATTATTTAGCGGTTTAATGGGCCTCTTCGCAATTGCAGTTTTAAAGAGAGTAATCTAACCCCAAAACTCTAACGGGCGATTTCCGAAAAACATGGATTACCTCAAAACTTGCTGCTTTTTCACAAGAGTGTTTCATTTAGGTTGGGCTTTAATAATGTCTCCGTTTAAAATTGCAATTGCAGCATAGCCCATTATACAAATACTTAAGAAGGTAATTAACATATTTTTGGTTATAAACATAGTTTTATATTTATTCCCTTATCTAACGTTTGCCATTCTTATGGTATTGCTGGCTACTACAGTGTGTGACCCAATTGTTATATTTTTGTTATAGGTACTTTGGCCAGATAAACCTCAAAAGAGGTACCAGGTGTGCACCATGCCATATCGCAAAGAGCGGCATTTATCCGAAAGTGATCAGGCTCATCAAGAAAGGTGAACTAACCCGTAGGTACTATCCAAAGATTGCCAGCCGCTCTCTTCTAGCCGTATGGAGAGTTCTACGAGTTGAGCAAGCGTTTCTAGTGGTCCTTGGGAGATTTCATGCTGGAGGCTTATGCAATATTGGTCTTGTCTTAGTAACTTTGTGGGTATAAGGCAAGCTGTATTAAATTTAATACAGGTTCCAGTTGCACCAAGCAGGTGCACTCACCCTCAAGTTGCAAGCCGCTCTCTTCAAGTCGCATGGGGTGCTTTATCTCTTTCAGGCACGGTGGTTATCCCCAGTGACCACCTTTTCAACATTTTTTCCCCTTGCAGCACGGTGGTCTAGCTCAAAAACCACCAACGGCGCTCTTGTTCGAGCTTCCTCCTCATAACTCTAGATGGCGCTAGCTTCCCCCGCGCTGTCTTCCATTCAGAAATAAAACTTCCGTTTCGTGCAACACGTGCCATGGCGCCTCCGACCTTTCATCCGAAAGCTTTCTACAAGCATGGCGGTAAGAATTTGCTCTACCTCTTCCTTTTTTCTGGGTGAGACAGTGAATAAGTGTAACGTGCACGTGGTTCAAAGAAGTAACTGCTTCGTTTTATAAAAACGCGATGCTGCCCGTTTCAATGTGGTGGTTACCACCAGTAACCACCATGCATCAATGGAGGTGGCATTCGCATTTTGATGTGTGATAAGGGGATCCTGTTCAAGGAACGTGAACGTCCGTTTCAGATGGTTGCGAAGAAATCCCCACAGACACTGACAGCCTTACTGGCGGGGACAACACGAGTGACAGCGACAGCGATTGGGAACCACCTCGCCCGCCTAATGGAAGCGCTCGGGACACCTCCCCCACATCGCCAAGGAATTGCCGCGTGATTAGTGATTCCACCGACTCGGAAACAGACGATGATACTCCCGTTGCCCCAGCAAAGGTTCCTTTGTGGAGTCCGAGCTATAGGGTGCACCCACCACTAGAATTCCTGGCTGACACTCGGCTCCAAAGCCATATCCTCGATTTAGAAGAAAAAGATCCCTTTTCTATTTTCAGTCTTTTATGGAGCCCTTCCTTGACGAAAGAAGTGGTTTTTCAGACGAACCTGTATGCCCAGCAGGCTGGAAAACCATACACTCCTACGACAGAGCAAGAGATGCGATCTTTCTTGGGTCTGAACCTCCTGATGGGTATAAAACGGAGTCCAAGCTACCGGGATTATTGGTCCAGCGTGCCGGACCTGCATGACCCATTCATATCGAAGATCATGACAGTGAACAGATTTGGTTGGCTGCTGTCTTATCTGCATCTAAATGACAATGTGCTACAGCCACCAAGAGCCCACCCTGATTTCGACCGGCTTTATAAAGTGAGGCCACTTTTATCGGAACTTTCACGAAGCTTTGCAACAAACTACCTACCAAAGGAGTACCTCGCAATTGACGAGTCAATGATCAAGTTCAAAGGCAGGAGTTCCCTAAAGCAGTACATGCCGAAAAGCCCGTGAAACGTGGATACAAGGTATGGATGTTGTGCGCCAGCACCGGCTACAATTTGAAGTTTGAAATCTACTCTGGAAGGTCCGAAAGCGGAGTGCAAAAAGAGTTGGGTGCACAGGTTGTCAAGAAATTGTGTCAAGACATATCTGGGAGGCATCACCGTGTGTTCTTTGATAATTATTTTACGAGCTATGGTCTCCTGAAGGACTTGAGGGAACAGGGAATATATGCGTGCGGAACAGTGAACCACAACCGGAAGCATCTGCCCAAGTTGCAAGCCGACAAAGAAATGGAAAGAGGGAACACTGATTGGTCAGTCAGTGATGAGAGTGTTTGCTGCATGAAGTGGAAGGACAAGAGAACTGTCCACCTTTTGTCGAACTTCCACGACCTTACGCAGGAGGCTGAAGTCGACCGCAAAAACAAGGATGGGACCGTCACCAAGGTACCATGCCCTGCTGCTCTCTATGACTATAACAAAAACATGAACTTTGTAGACAAGTTTGACCAAATGAAAGGGCAGTACGAAATCGATCGGAAATCAACAAAATGGTGGCACAGGATATTTTTTCCCTTCCTGGACTGCTGCGTGGTGAACGCATACATAATCTTCAGGGAGATTGAAGAAGCTGAGCGGATGACAATGAAGGATTTTCGCCACAGTGTGATCTCATCATTGACTGCTGAAGCACAAGTAGCCTCCAAAGCCAAGAGGAGGTCCTCTACCGATGCAGCTGTGCAACTGAAAAAGTCAAAGCCCCGCGTTGACACGAACGTCCGCCTGACTGAGAGCAAGCACCAACCAAAAAGATGTACACACCCCAGGTGTGCAAGGTGCAGCACCAAAACGAAGCCGTCCAGAACAACGTGGATGTGCGAAACGTGTGATGTTCCACTCTGCCTCAGGAAAGAAAAAAACTGTTTTTCTGACTGCCATAAAAAATAAGTGCCACCCCATTCAGCATGGTGGTCACCAGGAATGACCACCTCATATGCGGTCACTGCGCGGTAATACATTTTTTTAGTTTGTGAAAATAGTGTTCTTAGTACCGTACTTGACTATTTATACAATAAAATCAGGTTTCTATTTTCAACAAAACTTCTGTGCCTGAAAGAGTTATGAGGTGAGCAAGCATTTCTAGCAATCCTTGGGACATGTGCTTTATGCTTATGTATAACTGGCCTTGTCTTTGTTACTTTATGGTATATGGCAAGCTCTACTAAATTTATTGCAGGTCCCAGCTGCACCAAGCAGGTGCACGCAGCATTACAGATAGCAAGCCGTTCTCTTTAAGCCACATGGAGTGTTCCATGAGGTGAGCGTGCATTTGTAGTGGTCCTTGGGACATGTCGTGCTTTAGGCTTATGTATTACTGGCTTTGTCTTTGTGGTATACGGCAGGCTGTATTAAATACATAGCAGGTCCCAGCAACGAAAATTGCAAGCCACTCTCTTCAAGCCGCGTGGAGTGCTCTCCGAGGTGAGCAATGATTTCTGGTGCTCCTTGTTACAAGCCCTTCTTGGGTTTATGTAATACTGACCTTGTCTTTTTTATCTTCTGGTATATGACAAGCTGCATTAACATTAATTCAACAATATGATCAACCAACTAGCCCACCAGATGATCGTGATGCATTAACTTTCTCGCAGTTCCCATTTACACCAAGCAGGTTGACCCACCGTCGGATCGCTAGCCGCTGTCTTCAAGCCGCACAAAGTGTTCTATGAGGTGAGCAATCATTTCTGGCTGTCTTTGGTGCATGCCATGCTGGGGGTTTATGTAATACTGGCTTTGTCTTTGTTACTTTCGGGTATATAGCAAGCTGCATTAACTTTCTTGCAGGTCCCAGCTGCACCAAGTGGGTAGACCCACCATCAAAGACCGCAAGCCGCTCTCTTCAAGTCGCAACGTGTTCTGAGGTGAGCACTCATTTCTGGCGGTCCTTGGTACATACCATGCTAAGGGTTTATGTAAAACTGTCCTTCTCCAGTTTGATTAAGTTTTACCTAAGGAAAAGGTGGACCTCTATAGTGGGGTGGACGTGCATTCAATATTTTTATATACATGTATATAAAGCTGTCCATTTTGATTCGAACGAAATTAAAAAAAAAATGGCACGAGTTACTTACATAATTCCCTCACTGTGGTTGTGGGGCTTGTAGGACATGAGATAAGGGGATAACCGTTGCAGTATGTTAATCAAAACTAATGAACAAAAAATTTTTAATAATGTTTTTAATTAATTTTTTTTATGGGATATGTTTCAATTCTAGTTTTAAAGGCGGTGAATATTAAAGACTAACATAATTTCTATACAGCAACAAGGTTCAAGATATGGAATGCTAAAAATTTGCCTTTTTTGTCACCCGATTCGAAAATTGCGCCCTCGGGGAAGACCTCAGGATGTTGTGCGGACGTGGTTGTTTCGGACGCACCTTTTTTATCTTGGAAGTATGACGCGGATGCATCTACCAAGGACACACTGTCGAGATAGGGACGATGTGACCAGTACGACTATGTCACTCTTCCACCCACCATTAACGGCACAAATTCTTGAGCTCCTGAGCGCGGTTTTTGCATCCGACATTAAAACACAAAAGTTGGACAATGAATATGTCGAAGCCGCTTGGCATTTTGTGAATTGTTTAAGTCGGGATAGCCTTTAATTTTGGCTGGCTTCTAACATTGCTGTTGCAGCATGGCCTATAAAGCCATTAGTTCCAAAGCTAACAAATATTCGTCAATTAGTCAACATACTGTTACTGTTATCCCCTTTACTAATGTCCACAGAGTCCGACGAACGCGCAATGAAGAAAACATTCTCATAACTCTCGCGGCCTTTTTTGAAAATTCTGTTAGCTTTGAAATAGAATGATGTGTATACATGTAAAACGACTTGTAGAATGTAATCATGCACATGATTGTGTTACAAGGCTTTGTTTTTCACACAATTAAGTAGTGCATTTATTATCGCAACCTTCCAAAAATAAGCAAAGCATCCAGTTTGGTACTCAAATTGTATTCTATTTCGGTAATAAATGAACGGACTACTACTTGGTTCGCCTTTGGCTTCATACTGAGAATAATAGGCATGTGCGAATCATGAATTTTGGGCTGAAAGTTGATAATGACTTGAGCTTATTAACTTGTCAGTTGAATATCACAGTGTCTGCACCTCTCTCCAAGCCTGTTACTTAGTGCCGTCACGCTAGCCTCAGCCATCTGACAGTGTTGGTATCACTTGTTTAGCTGTAGGCTGCTTTGATTACTTTAGTACATATGTTTTCAAAATGCAGTAATATGTCAGTGAAGGAGCATGATCGTGCACGAATAGTAATTTCAGGTATGGTACAAAAACATACCTAATATCAGGGGAAGATAGTCATCCACTGAAATAAAGTTAGAAATGAATAATTTTAATTACCAAACTGAATGCTCTCTTAAAATTCTCAAGGATCTGCTTAAGCTGCGCAGTTGTAATCGAGGCAGCAAGCAAAGCTTGTCATTTATTTATGCTTGTCAGCAGCATGCTGCATGGGCATATAGATTTATAAGCGTACATAATCAGCATGAGGGCAATACATATACTTTTTAAATGAAAATCTAATTGATCTCGTTATTATCGCCCCACTGCCAAAGCTCGGTTAGTTCTGATCCAAACTATGTAGTGGCTCTGGCTATCATCAGGCCAAGGCCCACATAGAGGTTGTGAGTATAAATATACGATTTGATGGCCTTCTCGCTATGCTCATCCTTCAATTTCAAATTAGAACAGTTGCTGCAATGTCGTGACAGAGCATGTTAAGACATTGCAGCCTAATACATATTCTTGATAACAGAATAGCTACAGTGTTACTTGTTTTCTAAATTTGACCTTGAGGGGAGTACCGACATCCATCAGATTCATAAACATTTACGTAACCATGTTTAAATTTTTTTCTTAATTCCTCCTGTGTACATGTCAACATCTCCGCTATGAAGGTGTGCATTTACTACCAAAGTATGAGTCTGCACTGCGACAAAGTGGGATTCTTGTGACCGGGGTGTTACACCACCACCTTATCTAGGTGGTGGTGTAACACCCCGGTCACAAGAATCCCACTTTGTCGCAGTGCAGACTCATAGGCACGAGTGCTGCGTCAGTGTTCGGCCGGGGCTCGCGTTCCATCAGCGCGTCGAAGGTCGGACTCGGGCCCAGTAGCCGAGTTAACGCCGTCCGACTGTGATGACGTTTCATGAAGGGAGAGGAGGCGATGCCGAGGCTTTGATTATTCTAGATGATGTTGGGTGTTAGCGCGATTAATGCGATTGCGGAGTCTGCTCCATGGGTGTCGCTTCTCCGCAGCGCAGTGCACATGCAGAGAAGCGGACTGAACAAAGCCAATTCATTGTAATGGTGACTTTACGAGCGTTTTGAAATCTTCGAATGGCGCAAACGACTTTATTTTTGCGAGCTTGATATTTCATACATTTTGTGAAGTGTCAGTTTTGGAAATACTTTGCGGGAACAAAATTTCACAATCAGGAGTAATGTTCAATGTATTCGTGGCCATGGGGTTACTTATTTGCACGACCAATTTGAAGTAATTACGATAAACTCGCAAAAACTAAGCATTTGCAAAAATTAAGCCGTTTACAGTAGTACGATTCTTGTTGAAACCAATATCAAATACTGTATAATACAAAACTGCTATAACAAAATTTTAATATTAGCACAGCCCTGAAAAATGGCCATTTGCAGATGTTTTCGCTGTGGCCTTCATCAATCCATATATGCTTCAAATGTAGCAGCTGCAACCTTGAATCTGGAAAAGGCTATTGTTTGTCACACATTTTCTTTATGGTGCCTAAGGTTTGAGGTAATAAATGTTGTGCCCTGGAGTTAACACTATTACCTGTAGCATAGCCCTGGGCATTCAAAGAAGGCACACCACCAATGTCTGACATATCAGACTTTCAGAAATGCTATTGTCCGATTTTCCTCACCCTTGTGTCAGGATGAAGCTGTTACTATTTCTCTCGAGGTCCTCTCATAGTGGTCCTTTCAGTGAGTTAAGTGACGTTATATCATAGGGTGGCATAGGGCAATTTTCTCTTCCCTTTTCCCGCAGGATGTAATGGCGCACCGTCATCACCAAGGAGAGTGTACAGTGAGGCAGCTCGGAAACTTGAATAAAGTGATAAGTAATCTTTCAATTTTCGTCTTTATAATTACGTGAAAAACACTGATCATAATGTCTGTATGCAACACATACATACTTTCAGCTGAAAAATGCAATCCACCTTTTCTTTATTGCTTTTCTCACACAGTTTCAGAAGACGCTGGTACGTCATTTTCGCGAGGAATGTTTGGAAATAGAGCTGCCAAAGATTTCCGCGTAAGTTTCACGTACAAAGCCGCAAATAAAAATGACGACTTTCCTAGTCAATTTAGAAAAACGACAGTACGCTATTTTCACGAGGGAAGATTTGGAAACGATTTAATCGTCATTTTCACGTCTATGCTCGTAAACCAAGAATGCGGTGCCTCGTTTTTTTTGACATTTCCCACATAATTTCATAAAATGATTGTACGTTATTTTGACGAGAAATGTTTGGAAATAGAGCTGCCAGAACTTTCCTCGTAAATTTTACGACTCATTCTTAAGAGTGTAGGCTAGTTGGTAAGCACGTTGCTCACTTACTTTAACCATGCATGTCATATACAATTTGTTGCGATTGTGTATTGATTTCGGATCCTCTTCTGCTCTTTATTTCAAGCTGCTTTTACATGCACCATGAAGATACCGAGGAGGTCTTCAGTTGATTGAAAACTACAAGCACAAGCATGGAGGGGCATCTAGATGGCCAGCACAAGGACAACTATAATGTAAATTTTCTCCAAAGTTAAAGTAAGGCATGCCTTCTTCCAATAAAGGTATTGTGGCGAAACTTCCTAATTGGTT